TTTTTTTTTTTTTTTGTTATCGCCGGGGTCCTGTGTCGCATCTACCGCGAAGGTGACGAGTATTGTGAGTGGAGGAGCATTGGTGAAGGCTATAATTTGTCGCTGTTCAATCCTCCAGCTGGGTACGCAGTGTGCTGCGGCGCACGATGGTGTTTGATAGAGATGAAGTACGCGAGGGCCAGTTTATTTAGAAGTTTTGACTTGCATACGACTTCCACTTTTGATTGATTCTACACGTTGGTCCGAGTTTTTCTTCTGCAAGAGACAATTCCAGAACACTATTGGCTCGAACTCTAACTCTTTTTGTGGAATTTTTGCGGTCCTACTGCAGTATTTAACCAGAGTTGTGAAGGTTTTTGGGTCTGTAGGCGGCCGCTCCGTTTGATGTAGTTCCTGATTTCCGTAATTCCAAAGTTTGGTTTGTTTCGTGATTCGTGGCCGTTAGGTTTAATTCTCCTAATACTCATTTTCGGTTACCTTGAACGTGAAATTAATAATTAGTTTTTTTGCATAGTTGAATGGTGAAGTTTTACATTTGCTTTCTCCTATAAAACTCCGAGTTTCAAAGTTAACAGTTTAGCTATATGTAGGTCATAACAAAAATAATGTTACTGTTCATTGTTGACAGCTTTAGATTATAAATTTATGAGAGGAGCTATGGGGCGAGTGAAGAGGGCAGTATAGCGGGTGTTAAAGATTTTGGTGTGAAGAAGCAGAATGATCATTTCCGAAAAAACGATAACCAGGGTTTCCTTTGGCTGTTTTTTCATAGAAAACGTCTGGAAAAATAAATTTTTTTCGTGATGTAAGTAGCAAAATTTTGAGTTTATTATGTATGGGAAAGGATTCGATATCAGCCTTTGAAAATATAAACCAGTTTCAGCTTAATCTTAGTTAACGATCTCGGCAGGAGCTCATTTTTTGCTAGGAAAACTTATACAGCAGTAAAGGTTAGTAAGTTACTGAAAGTCTCTCCAGAAACTACACTTCTGGTAACACTGGTGAAACCGTAATCTTATTTTTTTTCTTTAAGATTTTTCTTTAAGATGCAAATTCCGTATTTTTATTTTAAGGAAGCGGACAATTTCCCAATATGTGATCACTGTGGAACAGTATTTACTGCTTTTAATGTTTTTCCTGAGCTAACAAACTAAATTTGTGTCACTCAATGCATATCACTTCAGTTTTGGCATCTTTTTAAAATGAGATTACAGATTTTTTTGAATGACAAATGACAATAAACAAGTATACATATATATAGTACATATATACTCGAATTAACAGCAGCTTGTAGCAGTCGAGGAGGCATGTCAAGCTTTGACAAAAGACGTCGCAGTCTCTTCAAAGCAGCAACCGGGTTGGAAGTTGCTCTAATTGTTGGTGGAAATTAAGATTTATTAATGAGTAGTTATGGTTAAGTTTATCTTGCTCTAGAAACAAGAGGAAGAAGATTTTGGAGAAAACGATGCAGCGATAAAAAATTGTTAGTAATTTGGACTTCACATTGCAACTGTAATTAGTATTTGGATACTCAGTTTTGAAATAGCCGGTTTTTTCTAAAGTATTCTGGTTGCACAAATGGAGAGGACTTCTGTAACCCTTTCAAGGGATCTTGGAATGGATGATATGGAATGTAATAGCTTGCCCAATGATATGTTAGACGTTGGCGCGTTAGGTCCTGTCGAGTTAACGGTGATTGACGCTGCACAGTTAGAACCTTACCTATAGAGAGGGTAGATTCTGTTTTGTTCTTCAAGCTTGGCGGTAAAAATCTTTCAGCGCATCTCGTGTTAAATTCTTTTCGAGAATCGGATTGCTCCGTAGCCGATCGGATGTTAGGCTGTTCACACTCGGAGAAGTATGCACGGAATGAACATATAGTGCTGAATTATTTCCACATCAGATAATCTTAACTTACACAGAGCACGAACTGGCGTTCTGGTCATCCTTTTGGAGACGACGTTGTCAAATAGGCAGTTGATCGCTTTAGTCGTAGCACAGTGCAGAACAGTCTATCGTACCTGAACTGCGAGATACTTGGGGTAGAAAACAGAGATGCAGGTATGAGAAATTGTTGTGGCGTCACTGCGGCAGGACGTACCCTGAAATCGAACGAAAAGTATTTAAAGGAAATAGTGGCAGTGATAATGCAGCAGGACTGCGCTTTGCTCAGCCCTGTCGTCTCGTTCCCGCTTCTCGCTTTTTGCCGGTCTCTGGGTCGCCCTCTCGCTCCTTTCTTTGGAGCAGCTCCAGTCTTTTTTTTTCTTGTTGAGGCGTTCTATTTCTCAGCCATCCCTTCTTTTATCCCTTCCTCCTAATTTCTCACCTGAACAGTAATTAGCCAATCGGGAAAATGAGGCAGCCAATCTGTGAGGTGATCATTTACTTCTTTCTTACAGTATATTTGATCATGCTTGCAAAGAAAGATTTTTTGGTTGTTAACGTCTAACGCAACAGTTTTTGCTTGAAGTGTAATTTATTTCCCTGTGTCACTATAAGAAGTTTATGACCAGGAAGGAGATTTGTTTTTTCCTCCCAAACCATTTATCAAGTTTCACACTGATGCTGCCAGCTTCAGGACGAACTTTAACGAGTAGTGCCAGTTTGAAAGTTAAGTGTTTGAACGCGCTTGCAAAAATGCTTTAATGTAAGGGGCAGTAGCGATGCAGACTCTCTATCAATGCTTTCAAATAAGCGGCGGCTAGGCACCAGTGACTTGTGGACTGCAGTGAGATGGATTTTGGTTTGTTGCTGTTGCTGCAGTTGGCTCACTGATATCGACATCTTTGTCTCTGCCGGTGTTGCTGGTAGTGTTGTAGGTGGGCATGGTTGTTCTGCCATTCTTCGGCTACAGCCCTCTTCTAAAATCCCTTACCATTAACCACATTTTTTTTGCAACCAGTGTTTAAATTAAAATTAACAGCTGACATGATATGTAGGGAACTACTTCTAATCTGTTAGTGTTTAATGACTATCTGTCTCTTCATATAGAATATGCGTACTGTATATGTAATTTTTAATGTTACACTTTAATTTTGTCAGCAGTTTTTCATTTTTTTTTTCTTTTTCTTAGAAAAAAGATAAGATAACAAACTTTATATGCTGGCTTTACATTAAATCTGATTTTTTCTTTGCAAAATTTGTTTTTTTGTTTAATGATGTTATACGTTGAAAGCGTGTACTGTGAAAGCGAAATTAGAATTGAAATAGTTTATATAGTCTAGCAAACTGTTCATATTTTTAGTAACTTAAAATGTGAATCTCCTATACTTTGCTGTTAAAGAATGCATGTATCAACTGTTATTTAAAATTGTTGATCAGCCATAGTCATTGAAGAGCTTTAGTAAAGACCTGTAAAGTTCGTCTTTTAAAAGGAAGGATAATGGGCAATTTGATTATTAAGCAATTCTGCTGTATCTTTTCCCTCCTAAAAATGGTTGGCCAGAGTACAGCCGAAAACGGGCAGACACTGTGCATTGCATAAGAACTTCGAGTTATTGGAGAGATTAAGTGGTATTTAGTCTCAACAAAGTTCTGGGACTTTAAACGGTGAAATATTTCAAAAATAACAGATTGTGTGGTGGCCGCTGCAGAATTAAACTGAAATTCACGTTTTTTAATTAGTATTATAGTGATAATAAAGAAGAAGTAATGGCTTTAGCTGACTAAATTCGCTAGATATTCGTCGAATCCTTAAGTTTTAAAAGTTTAATAAGATTTTGTTTATTCCGATTTAGAGATGAAAGGAGTTAGTTCAACTAATGCTACAATTTTCACTTCTTCAGAGCAAACAAGAAAGACTTTATCTAGCTGCCCAGGTCCTTTGAAAAGACCGTTAATAAGGAAATTCCAGATATGCAGAACTAAGCACTGATTTTTGACAGCATTTTATAGTCTCTTAATGTGTTAAGGCAACATACATTTCAAGTTGAGTCAACAAATCAGAAATTAGAGACTCAGTTCGAAAACTTTATGGGTTATTATGCGCGTGATAAAACTATATACTGCACACTGCTAATGTTTATAGTGTATTGAATGTTCTATATTGTTTTAACAATAGTTATAGTAATGCGCAGTGTTATGGTGTTTTATCACTTGTCGATTCAAGATGGATATTTCTCTTAATGTCGATGATCATCTCCACTGCCGTTTTTGCTTCCGTATGAGATGTCATTATGATAAGTGCCAACTCAAACCGTGCCCAGAATGCAGTGTTCCTCTACATGGGTGCAAGCTTGAAGATCATCTTTTAATATGTTTGATGGTATGGTTATGCAGATTTAATTTTGCTTTTCAAAAATTTTTTAAATTACAACATTTAGAATCTGTATGTCCTTCTTTCAACTTGTTGTTGGAAAGTCCAGCGAAGAGCGAGTACAATGCTAGCTTTTCAACAGTGATGTAAAGATTTGTTTTAATACGAATTTTTTTAGCAGTTCTCTTCAAAGAATTAGTATTAAATTGAAATATTCCTAATTTTAATTTTGATCTGCAACTTTCAAAACGTCATAACGCGTTTGACAAGGAATACAGAAGAATAAATGGCAAATTAATCTGTAAAATCCACTTGTAATATATAGGTGTAAAGTTGGGGACTTATTTCATTACCGTCAAAGTTGAGATGTCGAGTGTTGACGGGCGGCAGGAACACATTTTGAAATTACTCAAATGTTTGGATATTTTTTGATAAAGGCAAATATTAAGAGCTCTGAACGAAGGAAGAATAGGTACCAAAGGTATGACTTAGTTTCTGTATAAAGGTGGAAGAATGAGGAACTCCGTTATCTTGAGGCAAAATGAAAGTTTTTGTCGACCTTTCTTATCTATGGTATCGCATCGTCCTAAATGACAGCCTAAAACTGCGTTGTTAACATTCTGCCGCGATTGTCTGATCGGATTGCATGACTGAACAGCTCTATTGTAGTACCATCAAATTCCACCTCTGGTCGAACTTGTCATTCCTCATCTAGATGTTGGACTGCAACCATGGTATTATAGAAGGTTCTTATCTTAATCGTCTTCGCCCTGGCGCTCGCTAGGTAATCTTTAGGACCAGGAAGCCACTAATTAATAGCTGCGAGTAGCTTGCGATCTCGACCTGCCCTGTCGTCAGGATGAAATTCATGAAAATCAAATTTTTACCAATTGTCTAAAATCCGTTGTTTTGAAGACGGTCCTCCCAATTTCTGTTAGTATTGCGGCGCAACTCTAAAGCCTTGTATCTAATTAGAATAAAACAAGTTGAAATTTTTCAAATCCGCACTTCATTTAAATGGCTGAAAGAAAAAAGGGAAAAGGTGTTTTTAACACTGCCCCACAATAATCTTAAAAAGTCACTTCTACTAGTAAGTTGCGTTACCTGTTCAAAAACGGATTATTTGTTTTAAGAAAGGGTCTAAAAAAACTTGATGAAGTAATTGCGGCTTTGTAGCTAAATGCAGTAACTGAAATAGTTGCAGATAATTTTCTCCTGTTGTACCGTTTACTTTTTTTTTGTGTAGCCGCCTTTACGAAGCTTTATTCAGCTAATTTGCAGACTAAAACGGCTTGTCCTAATGCTTTGTATGGATGCCAGAAATTTGTTCGAAGGAACCAAATAGCCGCCCATTTAATAAACTGTCCAGCTTCAGTTGTTTTTTGTGCGTTGCAGTGGAATCGAAGAGTGTTGAGTCCTTATGCTAAGCGTAAAATGAAAAGGATAGCAAAAAATTTAGAAGTCCATAAACAAACGGTAGATATCGACCCAGCGGAGTTAGATGTCTGTACTGCTATAGCCGATCAGGTATAATTTCCTTCATCATATTAAGTTCAGCAGTTACGGTGTACTATGTCTCTATTGTTTTCAATAAGCATTAATAATAGAGCATCACAAGCTTTTTTTCTGAGAATGGACCTTTTCCTCGCAATACTTTTAGTTTACAACTGGAAAGAGACAGTTTTGAAGTTTAGAAGAGCGTTTTCGAATCGTATCGTTGTTTGCGTGCACATCGTAAACGACTCACCGATTTTCAAAATCCCTGTCATCCATTACTTCCTTTAAGGATCCCCTTGGAGCAGCAAACCACGTTTGAAGACATTGACAGCAGCGATGAAGAAAACAGGAAAAAAGTTTCTTTTTCAAATTATTGTTCTGATTAAGTTATATATTTACATTCCATCTAAACTTTGCATTTTAAATGTGTCAGCTTGAAACTCCCGACCATCAGTCGGAAAATTTTTAAATAACATCTTCTTTGAGACTTCGTTTTTGTTTTCCAAACATGGTTAAAAAAGGGCATTTATATTACTTTATGAATTCTTATTCTGTGTACTTCGAAGTCGATTACAGGAAGAACAGTTAAGGAAGAAACGATCACCGTTTGAGAATTGTTACTTGTGTAAGATTGACCCCACCAGCCAACATTTGCACAAACTTGGCAATCTTGTCGAAATTCAAGACAATGTTATTGTACAAGCGCCTCTGCCAAAGGTTTCCCCGATCCCAGTATTTTATGAAGATAGGAATCTTTATGTAAGCATTTGTTCTACTAACAAATTCAGTCGACACTTGCTTACTCATTTGTTTCTTCTTTTTTGTGCTATTTTAAGCTATACGGTGGTAAATTATGTAAGGAGTTACCCCTAAATAATACTGTTTCAAGCTTAATGATATAGGTCATAAAATTAGAACCCTAATTATTCTCACCATAAAGCTTTTTAGCTACATATCGCAAAAGAGTGTTTGAATCCATTCGTTTCCAAAACTGATGACATTTTCCTAGCTCATAAAGGGATATCGGTATACACGTTCTTCTGTAATAACAGTTTCCGGCGCGATGAATATTCACAGCATTACGACACTATGCACATAAACTGTGAGGATTTCATTGGAAGGTGTCCAAATTATGCAGATGGTTGTTCTTTTTACTACCAGAAAAAGAAGCCAATTTGGGGTTCTCTTCGGTAAGATTAGATACGTACCTTTAGAATAATGCTGCACTCCGAGGTTTTTGTTTCATACCTTTTTACGCCGCAGACTGAAAACTATGGCTTGCCTTAGCCTTCTGTTTCACTTTTGAGGGTCCTCCGATTTAAGAACTTATAATCGTATGTACTATTGTTGCAGATACTGCGATTATTTAAACTGCATTGTTCATTGTCCACCTGAAGTATACCGATCAGACGCAGATTTAAATACTGGTGACAATGACCAAGCCCTTTCTCTGTGCGACTTACCTTTACTTGTTCTTGACGTCATCCTAAGTTATTTGGATACTTGTTCATTACGGTGTCTTTCTGCAACCAACAAATATCTCCGATACCTTTGCTTCACAAAATATTCTCGATCTGCAATGGTTAATATAAAGTGGGAAAGGTTGAGTGGTGGTGGCTGGTACGAAAGCTGTTACGTATGGATTTCACAATATCAAATTCGTTCTTTACTTCCTTTACAATTTGCATTCATCATCTCTAACACCTTAATGTAAATGCTCAGTCCAAAGAACTTTTCTAATCTTCCCGTTGCCAGCCTTATTCTACCATTTTTAGGTGTTGGAATTTAGTCGATGTTACGGACGAATAAACGGGTGGACTGTAGCATCGAAACAAACCCTCTTACATCATTTGGAAAAGTGCACGTGCAAACCAGTTTCGTATGAACGCACTAAGCCTAAGAAAGTATTATTACCATATCTGGAGCGCAAAGTTGGTAGTTAAGCTGTAAATTACGGGTTCATCTCTCCTCTTGTATTATTGAACTTAGCTTGTGTCTAGAAACTCCTTGTAGTGCACGTCCTAGTTTATTTTTTTATTGCTACAATTGTTTTCGTCACAGCCATGTGAAAAGTTCTTCCAGGTTTTTTCCAAAACGGTTACGATATATCATTTATCAAAGCGCATCGTAGTTAGACTTCCAGTTGTTATGCTAAAAAACCGCTGTGATTATCAGTCATGATCTGCCTGATTCCTAAGCCGGGTAGTGTGTGCTTTGACATATTAATCGTTTCATTGATATTCAGGATATTTAAGTTCACTAACACTTCTAATTGCCCTACCAGTTGGCTCGAAAATTAAGAGAAGAAACACGTACATGAAAGTAGCATCACAGTCATCTGGCCACTCTATTCATTTTGAACATAGCAACGGACAGTAATGTACCGCAACACTTCTGCTATGCAGCTCTGTAGGCCTCTGAAAAAAAGGGATTGAGATCTGAACTACTTCAGCTTTCTCTCCCAGGGCCGTAATGTGCTTGTGCAGAAACGGGAAAAATAGTGACTTAATAAAGAGCATCACCCCAAAAATGCGATTTGATTATTATATGCAACCGGGTGTAAGAAACAAATAGTCACAGAAGGCACCAATGACTCACTTGAAGCAACTGCAAGCGGGAACAACGACAACAAGCCATTAGAACTCAGTTACGCAAACATCTTGTTTTGACGGAGCGTAAAAAGCAAAGGTATTTATTATTTATCATGTGCTTTTGGTTTTGGTAAATGAATAAGGGTGGCAGAGGGAAAGTAGGAATGATACTTGCCTGTCACATTCAATCCCATTAGCGATTCGCATTTAAAAATTCAAAAACAAAAATTGCTGAGCGACAAATGCATTCGAGAACACTGAAAGTATGCGATCTTACAATATCACTGCACGGCCGCTGAGTAATATTGGTGCTCACTGTATAACAATATCACGGAAAAACCATACATAATGCAATCGTAAAATTCACTTCTTTTAGTTCTTCACTTGAGCAAAATCCACCACAGTTTGCTATTAAGTGACAAATCAGTTAAGATGGCTTGTAAAAAACTGCTAAATCCTGCTTACCGAGCACTTGTCTACAAAAACAAATAAAAGTTACTGAAAGACAACCCAGTGTTCAAAAGATAGTGAGAAAAGCAAGTTGAGAGAAATCATATCAATTAAATTAAACTCAAACTAATTACTGTAGATACAATTAACTTGAGTAGCTGCAGCTCTCTTTAAAATAAGGTCAACTTCGCGCACAAGTAGGAGAAAAAAATAAAAGTGTAAAATTAATCCACTTTCATACTGCCATGTCCATTTTTATCGACGGCCAGGGATTGTAATTCTCGAGAATAATTGCTTTTGAAGTGAAGTCATCAATGGATTTCTGTATTCCTTCAAATCGTATAGTGGGGAATTTCCGAGCCTTTCTTTTTAACTGGAACACATTTATTTCATCACAGTAGCCTTAGCCGATGTATTTAATTCAAATTTCTAATAAAGTAGAAAGGTTGCACTGTGAAGGATACGGTAATACAAAAAACTCGGGCCCATTTCTGAACGACTGAAAATTTCATCGCTTTATACCAAGTATACCTTTCGGTCACTGTTTTTTTCACTGGCGTAT